GGAACCCCCCCCCCCCCCCTCTCTCTTTTCACTAGACTGCTGCTTCTATACAGTGCCAGAATACCCGTTTTGTCCGGGTGGAGAAAAGAGCCTTTTGGTGGTTTTCTATGAGTGAAAAGGAAAGCGGTTTACTCCGAACTTCGTAGAACCCCCGCCCTGTGATACTACCCTCGTCTTCACATTATCGTCTTCGGTTGGTGTACACTTGAAGAGTCGATATTCTGACGGACAGACCCTATAAGATAAACAACGTCTGTCACTGAGGACTACTTCGAGGCCTTGTCAGGCGAACAAAAGTTTATGTTTTGTTTTAGCTGCTGTATCTTTTTTTAAGCAGCTGTGGATGACAACTATAATATTTCAACGTGATATGCATTTCTGTGGAGAAATGTTGACTGTCTCCTTCCCACGTAGAGGTGAGGTACAAAAAGTTTTATGATTATTATCACGTACGAACGTAATTTATGAGCTTTGCAAGAAATGTGATGGAGATGGATTACGTGAGTGCCTGATAACACCAGGTGTATCTGTCAATAACAACACAGCCGCATTGTCAGTTCAAAGTAACCGAAGATGTTTTCTGACCGTAGTGTTTGCCTTCAGTTTGTTCGTGCATTTTCACTTGGCAGATTGGCAGGGTTTGTCTTCTATTCTTTCTAGGGCTTTGAAATACGTAGATTTGTTTTTCGGCGCTTATATGACCTTATTATGTTGCAAGTGCCGCAAAACACTTACTAAAACTAAACTTAGATTTGAGTTATTTGGTTATTTTAAGGTTTCAGGTAAAACAGTTGCAGTTAGTAACTACTTTTGGTAGTTAGTAGAATCTGTGTTTTAAAACAAAAAATTGAAACCCGATGCTTTTATCTTTCGACGCTATCCCCAATTTTTGTGCTATTAAAAAGAAAGCACATCTCAAGCACGCCTCCCCTCTCCCTCCTATTCATTTAAAATTAGCAACATGAAAAATCATATTGACGACTTTTAGGACACACTGCGCCTTCTCTCAGACACGGGCACTGCGTTGAACGAGGGATAAGATAAACGCCAAACAAACAAGATACAAGTAAACAGGAAAGAGTAAAAAAAAAACACACGAAAAAAACACAGTGAAACTTAGTTCATGTACAGACCCCCAACCCCCCCTCACGTTTTTCCTATTCCACCTTCTGCCTTTCTTGTTTTGTTTTGTTTTTTAATCTTAGCCACAACCAGTTCTCTTTCCCTTTCCAATTTTTCGTCTTTGTTTCGGAGGAACGTTAACTTCGTATATTATAGGATACATGTCTTTCTTCAAATTAATATCTTACTGCTGCCGAAAAAAAAGAAAATATTTTGTTTCTACAAATCTACAAAGATCAAAATTGACATGTCAGTGGCTAGAAATGTTGGGTGTAGCCTTGTTTCAGCATGTATGATGCTCTTAACGCACTTAGATACATGTGCAAAAGCTTTAATGCGGAAGGATTTCACCTGGTTTAATTGGACCGGTTTTTGAGAGAAATCGGCGCTCTGACATTTAAGTGAGCTTTTTTTACAGACAGCCTGCTTCCATGCATCCAATACGGTAATACAGAAAAACCACACCCTTTTCAAAATAATATTGCCTCGTCATATGTCTCAGGCTATGCTGGCAGAACAATTTGGACTTCCGCAAGGAAATGTGGTACATGCTACAAGTAAATTCGTATCGTATAGTGAAGAATAT